ACCCTTGTCGCTGCAATTTCGCCCGAGCGTCGTCTTGCCTTCTCGGGCGCTTCCTCCCCGAGCAGCAAATTAGAACCAGAAGCGTCGTTAAGGGAAGTAAGAACCACCTTGCTTCAACAGCTGGGTTTGATGGGTTTTTGAGCTTTTTCCAGATACTTTCATTAGTTCCCAAACAAGATTTGGTGGGGTCCTCTCCTTAAAAAAGGAAGGCGCCTGGTGGGATGGGTGGCACGCGGCTCTGGGCGCCCGTGGGTTTGGACGGGTGGCACGCGGCTCCGAAGCTGGGGGCCTGGAACACGGCGTTTGGACGTGTGGAACGCGGCTCTGGGTGGCACGTCCGGAATGCCGGGGAAGGCGGCTTTGGACCGCATGGATGGGTGGAATGCGGCTCCGGAGATTTGCTACTGGGAAGACGGTTTATCACCCTTTGCAAACCGCCCAGAAGATAATGCTGGGTACCGCATCCTGTATTTCCCCAAAGGTGAATCCCTCTGAGGAGTTTCCGACAGGTTTCTTCCGCCCCGAAACATTGTCACAAGTTAGTTGAGCTGTTTTATCCAGTCTACTTAAAACTTGGGCTTTTGCACATGGACACAAGAAAAGCCAACGAAAGCTTCAGAAGCTCTGTTGGAGCTGGCTTCAACTTGGCTTCAGGGTGCCCTTCAGGTGCCGTCCCAGAACTGGGGAAACTCCCCACTGGGAGGGTACTTGAAGCTAATTTGAGGCCGGCTTCAACTCTAGAGCTGAACGCCGTCCCTAAACCCGAAAATGTAGTAGTGACATGCTTGATGGTTTCAGACTTGTCTGGAAGCCGTGCCTGCCTTGAGCGAGGGTGCGAGCAATCGTGCCGAACAAGCTTTAATTTGGTTTCCACGTGGCTAAGCCGGTTTAGGAACGGAACTGGCTCAGATTTTGAAGCGACTTGGACGGCTGTCTGAGAGCAAACTAGTTTATGGGCTTTAGATGCATTCCTGAATCATGTTCAGCCTTACAATCTGAGGAATTGATCCATTGGCAGGACACCATAACAAACCTTGTGCTACCAGTACAGCATGTGTCTCTCCTGTCTTTACGTCCATACCGTTTGGAGTCTTCGCCGGCACTAATTTTACAGCTGGCGGGCCCGCTGGGGGGAAGCTTGAAGTTAGAACCACCCCGTACCGCCCCGTACCGGCCACCCTCACCACCCGCACCGCCCCGCACCGCCCCGCACCGCGAAGTACCGCCCAGCCTCGCGCCGTACCACCCCGTACCGCCGCGTACCACCCCGTACCGCGAAGTACCGCACCGTACCGCGCCGTCCCGTTCCGCCCCATACCACCCCGTGGCGCCCCACCGCCCAGCACCGCCTCTACCCCATGCCATGCCGACCCGTATACCGCCCCGTGCCGCCCAGCACACCGTAGTTTAATGTTTTTGTCTTGCACAAGCTGCACAATCCATCAGGCCCAACTGTTGAAGCACGCTCCACAGCCGTGGAGCAGTCAGTAGAAGATACCTTTGAAGCAATGACATGCATCGATCACAGGTACGTTCTGCGGGCAGACATTCTATTTTGCAGGCCGCGTGCTGAAATTCTGGAGCTGTTGTGTTCCGTGCATGATGCCAAGACTCAGACAGCGAAAGAGGCACGATGCAAGGGAAGTGTTTTGCTGGCTTGTGTAACCGTCGCCGGCACAACAGAAAAACGGACTTGATTGCATTTGGTGAACACACTTCATGAGTGGCTACAGTTCGAAAACTTAGTGGGGCTCTTCGGCTGTTCGGTATTCAAATTCTCGAGGAGGATTCGAAAGTTGTTAGGTGGCTTGCTCGCAACTGATGTCCAAGGCAAGAAGATCTTGTCTCGCGCCATTTGCCGTTTCACCACCCGTCACCTTCTTGCGGCTAATGGATTGGAGCTGGCACAAATGTACAACCGCTTGCTTCAACATTGCAGCTGGCAGGAATTGGGGGTGGGCTGTTTCCATTGTCGCAAGTCGTGCAGTCAGTTTCACTCAGACGAGGCCCAGAAATATGGGGTCTTCCGAGCACGCGTGAAACCCGTTTAGCAAAGGCGCGCACACCGAACGAAGCGCTGCAAAACATGTCGCTTGTTGAGCCTCAGCAGAGGTTGTCGCGGATCCACTGCACATCGGATAGTTTTCGTGACAACTTCTTTCAAGACGGCTTCTGCAAAGATGCTGTGCCAAAGCCATCCAAGGCCAATAGTTTAGGACTTTTGCGAAGCTTGGCTGCGTAAGGAAGTGGAATGTGTTTGTAGCTGCACTGCGCCTTACTCGCGGATCTGTTCTCCGATGGAAAGTGTCCCCGCAAATTCGCGGACTCTGTTGCCGTCACATGGCTGGCATGTGGCAGCATCGCCACCATCGCCCACCCGAGGCGAGGTCGCTTCAATGGGTAGGTTCAGGGTCGGTGCTTACAATCATGTGACGTGAAAGTTCAAGGTGCTTCAGCATCTGGTATTGCCACAACCAGCCACAAAAGTAGCGATGCAGTATCGAGCACAGTATTTTCCGCATTGCTCTTGTGGATGTTCCGACGGTGCCGCCCATCGGTATTCTCGTGATTCATCAGCGCTCTCTATGTTTTTTTTTTTGTTTCCGTTGGGTTCCTTTTGTTGTTCCCGAGGGGGGTAAGGCTTTGGTTTTGGTTTTTAGGGTTTGGGTCGCGGCATTTGGGCTTGTGCTCATCTTGTGGTGTGGGTTGGGTTGACAGATTGGTTGGGAGCGGGCTTAAGATTTGGTGATGGGGGTTAGGGTTTGGCGTTGTGTCGGGGGTTGGGGCATCTTGGGTTCTTTTTTGGGGTTTGGTGATTTGAGTTCAGGGTTAGGTTTTGGGTTTTTGGATTTGTTGGTTGGGCTGTGGCCCTAAACCCTAAACCCTAAACCCTAAACGGGGCTAGTTACGTTCGTTGCGGGCTGTTGGGGCCCAAGAGCTTGGGGTTGACAGGCTTGGGGTGCTTGGCTCTGATGTATCAGCTTGAGGATGGTAGGGATTAGGGTTTAGGGGTTTAGGGTTTAGGGTTTAGGATTTCGGGATTAGGGCTTAGGGTGTCGGGGTTCAAGGGTCTTGGAAAGAGTGCAAGTTTGGGGTTGGCGACGTGCTTGTTTTGGGACAAATTTCCCCTGAGGTTTTTTGAAGTTTGTGTTGGGTAAGCATATGCCAGATTCAGAATGAGCCAGGATTTCCAAGGATCAAAATCAAAATAGCCCACCCCAGACCTGGCTCGGGATGATAGTTTGCATCACTCGTGTGACACGCATGCGCCAGGGTTGGAGAGCGAAAGTTAGCATGTCAAGATCGTGACATGGAACTCGCAGCTACTCGCAGCGACTCGCATCTACTCGCAGCTCCACAGTGCTAGCGAGCAGCCTTGTAAGGGCCAGTAGTGGCATTGCTTCTTCGCGGCGCCAGTCATGTTGACAGCCTCTTTTTCCAACCGTTGTGGATTTGGGCACAGTTTCGGTTGTTTGAAGGGCTCTGTGCTTTAGGGAGATTTTACCGAAAACTTGTTGTTCGTGCACAGGCTCACTCACCTTCTTCACTTCGTGCCCCGCTGCTGTAGTTACCTGGTTTGCGCCTCGTTTGCAATTGAATTCCCCAAATGCAAATGTCGTATCTAGTCATCCAGTCCTGCCGGCAGCCTCTTCAAATCTTCAGGGTCTGTCGCTTGCACATGGGTTCAGCATCTTTGATGCATTCAACACCAATGGCTGCATCGGTGGCGGTGGCAGTGGTGTCAAATGCAAGGTTTCGGCTCGGGCAGAGGGCACTTCAAGATACCGAAGCATGAACGTAATGTGGCTTCTGGTTGACAGCATTCCTGTTTGCGCAACAGTCGATCGTCATAAGAGATAGCTGAGGTTGGCATAGGTACCCTGCAGCACGTTCTGCGGAGGCGCTGAATCGAAAGCATTGGAGACATTCCAATCCAACTTCCAAAGTGTGCAGCGGCCGACTAGTTGTGACTCTCGACCTTCCACGGAGGCGAGCTCAAAGAACAGCAGCTGGTACCTGATCTTAGTGTCAGAGGTCCGGTTTTGCTGATGCATGGTCTCTGTGTGGAGGAACCGTTCCCATACACAACGGGCCCCTGCATGCCTGCCAAACATTGTCCGACAGATTGCCGCTTGTTGCTGCTAAGTTTGCTCGTAGTAAGGCGCTGAGTGGAAGCAAAAGCACTTGGCCGGGTGCTTACTGACGACCTCTTTGATTGCCAGTAGCTGTAAAGTCTCGTGAACTTGTGACCCAGGCCATGGAACTCTCTGGGCTGCCGAGCCATCCGTCGAAGAATGCCAAGTTGGAGCAGCAACTTGGACAAAAACTCGTTTCCGAAGCCCAAAGCACAATGCCCGTGACCCCGGTCGTGGTCATGCACGCCTGCTGCTCCATGGGATTTAAACCCGGAAACCCTATGGCCGTTCCTGCTCTGGCCCAGAACTCATTATACAAAGCCGGCCTCCCTGGCCGCTGCGCTGCAGCTGGCGTTTCGTCTGATCCGTTCTGCTCCGATGCGACAGCCTCCGCGATCTTCTACAGGCTGCGGCGGCTGCAGCTTCCGTAACTTCTCCCCGGCATCAGAAGGAAAGGTCTCCATTCCGCAACGGCATTTCGTACACTTCAATCAAAAAATCGACTGGTGTAATGCAATGGCACACTTCCGGCTGCCTTCCACAAGCACTTTGCAAACGGAAGTGCTCTCTCCCCTCTCACTCTTGCTGCCCCCTTGTCCACTGCTGCTTCGTTCTAAGAGTCTGCGATGAGAGGCCAGCGTGCTTACACCTCACGTTCCACGTCGACATTGAAGAAAACCCGAGGTATGCCACCGATGGAGATATCGCGGCGCGATGGCTGCTGGGGATCAACGCCCAGGATGGAGACTCGTTAAGTCGATTTTTATATGTTGGTGGTGTAGACATGAAACGCGCACAAAACAAACTGGCTGGCACAAAAGCAAGCGGATACTCGGTTGCTGCTTTCAGGATCCATTTGCCAACATGGACGAGGCTCGTGGCTAACAATAATGGGACCTGGTTTTTGGAGGCTTCAGTCAATTCGCAAAACATCTAGACCAAATCAGCCCTTCTTCGTCGTAAGATCCTCGGGAGAAGATTTGCGAGGATTGGTGCATCGGTGATCGAATCAGGGACTCGTGCTGTTGCAAGTGCTACCACTATTCACCATTCCCTGAGGGTGTCGTGGATCTTGGTGCTGGAAATGGCATACTGGGCATCGGGGCGCTGCTTCTCGGTGCCCCACGCGCTGTTTTCGTAGAGGCACAGGATTGCTTTGGGGAGGCTGCAGACGGAGCCCCCCTTAATGTTACCTTTTGTTATTTTGCTTGTGTCAGGTGGATCCTGCGGCAGCTGATGCCATTGAAGAAGGCCTCGAGGTCCGACATCCCAGCCTTTCAAACAAGACAAGTATGCTTTGGTCTGTGCTTAGCTGGCAGATTCTGCTCTTGCTGTTGTAATGAGTATAATGAGTGGAGACTCTGACATCTTTCAGAGCACACCAGGACCGGAGGTGTGCAGCCAGGTTCGTGAACTGCTCACGTGACCTCTCTCATGTCAGGCACAGAGCCTCTCAGCCCGCTCTCGTGTCTTGCGCTGCGATGTGGAGGAGGTGAGGAAGGGTGAGATGCTGCTAGGTTGTCCTTCCTGCGCCTGCGTTGATTCGTTGCCAGCACCCGGAAGGTGGCGGATGATTCAGACTGTGTTTGTGACCTTGTTCTTATGAACCCACCCTGGGGACAGCAGAGAAAGTCTGCAGACAGACCTTTCCTGCAGGCGAAGCAGGGCACATGTCCTTGCAAGAGAAAGCGGCTCTGCGCATGTGCCACCAGGGCAGAAGAGTTTGAGAGACTCTGTGAAGGCCTCCATTGCATTGGCGAAGACTTCGGTGCATATGATGCACAGCTGGCGCCTCGGAGTCTCCGTGTGAGCTGCGGCCACGATGTCGATGACTCTGAGGTTTTCAGAATCTAACGAATCGCTTCTCATTCTCCACGAGGTGCTGGTGCAATTCACGTGGAGCCGTGGGCGCGAGACCATGGATGGAAAGCGGTCAGGTGGCCAGAAACCCAGGGATCTGTTTCAGCTGTTTCGTGGCTGACTAGCATGGCAGGGAGGTGGGCGCGTCGTCTGATCTGGTCCTGTCACCGTCCTATCCAGATGTTTAGGATAACATTGCTGTGATGATGTGCGTAACGGTCTCTCAGACTCTCAGCCCTTCGTCGTCAGCGTGTTGACATTTTGGGGCTTCATCTATTACTCATGAGCTGTCGCATCAACTGCTACATCTCCTGTCACGTGTCCACGCAAAAGATGGACAAACAGGTGAAATTGCAGGATGGTTTACTTCGATCCTGTGATGCAGTGAACATGATCTCGGTCTCAATGTATCTGTGAAGGATGCTGCATGGGTCCCAGCTTCGAGCCATTTCGGAGCCTTCAACATGCCTTTGGGTGTGGGCGGGGTTGCGGAATTTTGGTTTGAAGCGTTTCGGGCCGGACTGGTCACCCTGACAAGTCAGCCAGACCCGATCCAGATGCATATTTCAGGCCTTGAACATGCATTGGGATTGGTTGCCAGTAATTCGCGACGGCTGGCATGTGGGAGCCAGTCTGCTGTTGGGGATACTACATCGGTTTGAAGTGATGTGCTCTCATGCTAAGTGATGTGCTCTCATGCTATACGGTTAGGGAGTTGACGCAAAACGGGTGCACATTTCTGCTCCCACAAAAGTTTGCAAGCGTTTGTGAGGCTGCGTAGGCACTCACCACGGTTCGCATTGGCTCGAAAGTGTTCGCAGCGCCCACGAGCATGCTGGAACGGGGCAGGCCAAGGGGAGGGTGTGTTCGAGCATGTCGTGGGCGGGCAAAGGAGAAATTCCTCACAAGGCGTGTCCAGGCGTGTCGTGGTAGGGTCGGAACGGCGCACTGCACGGGATGCATCGGGGCGCGTAGCTCCTATCAGATTCGACTTCTGTATCCGATGCCAGGCAGGTTTTGCTTCTTTTGGTCATTGGTTTTTCAGTACATGAATGGTCGAGAGATGTAAACGTAAATGCATTCTTCTTTATTGCTGATGCTTACATTCTAGATGTAAGAATCAAGTTCATTTTGGTTCTGATATGACACTTCGCTTGTTTGAACTAGCAGATGTCCGAGAGCGGGCACAATTTCGCGCTAGAGCCAGAGTATCTTCTCCTCCTGCAGCAGCATCATTCCCTATCATCATTCTTAGCAGGATCATTTATGTTCGCATTGCTTCAAATTTATTACGATAATAGTCATATGCTGTTTAGGTCTTCATCAGATCGTTTTCTTTGCATGTTAAAGCCCCTTTTTGTCAATCATTGTTGAGTTCTGAAGTTCTGGAATGTCTCGATGTCGATGTCATTCAGGCGGTCGACGAGCCGCACATCCAAGACAAGACAGCATGAGCAAGACATCATCCAAGAAGAACGCAAGACAGGCAACACACGTGAGGGAGGTGAGAAGGGGAGATAGCAAGCCGCATACATTGTTTAGAACGGACAGTCAAGTCAGATGCAGCAAAACACACGACAATCCAGTACAACACATTTTCTATTGCTTGCACTGCATGAGCATAAGTGATTTCAAGTGGGGACGTCACCTGGCTACGCTCATCTGCCGTCGAGAACTTTGCATGGAACACACTGAGGCAAGCTTCAGCGAAGATTGCCGTTGTTGATTTACCTTGTACTTCCGAATTCGGGCCGTAAAGCTCAGTGTCGCGAGGCTCGATGTGGAGTTTCCATTGCCAAGAAAATATGCGCATCAAAGTCGGCGCAGAGGCTCCGCTTCAACGTCTCAGGATTCGATTGCACCGTAGTAGTATCATCCTCTGTAGTTGCAGACTACGCTGTAGATCGCATCGAAACAAGCAGATACAAGGGTTTTCATGGCATGTGTTGCTATGTCCTTTTGTGCGTATGCAGGCTTCACGTCGGCTGCCATGTGGCGAATCTGCCGGGAAGTCTCGATGAAGACTGAGAGCAAGTCGAGGAGAGTTCTGTCCGACGACCTGTTCTGACATTGGTTGCCAAAAGCGAGATGTGGAGTGGTTCTTTTGTGTTTAGCTCCGAGGGGTCTCGCAGACATGTTCAGTCGTGTGGGTCGCAAGCAGAGGCAAGCAGCCACTTCAGCTATTTGGCTGTTACCTGCAGCTGTTTGCATTCGTTGATGCCATGGCCGAGCCAGGCCTTTCAGCCCCACGAATTCCGCTTTTGTCGTAGCTGCTTAGATTTGGCAGCTAAAAATGGTGAATTTGGATCTCTTTGAGGTGAAAAAGAGAGCTGCTGGGAGCGGTTTCTGTCTGCACGGCGGAAACCAGGCTTGAAGGGCACACAGCGAACGCGAGAGCTGAGTGCACTTAGAAGCAAGCATTAGGAGCAGCATAGCATCTCTCTTTCTGCTCTTTTTCAGGTGATCTGGCGGTACTGGGTGATCTGAACGAGAACCCCAGCGGACTGCTTGTGCCAGTGTGACTTCGAACATCTTGCGAGGGATTCTGGGCGTTGTGATTAACTCACACTTGGTTAGCATGGTCTGTTTCATTTACTCAGGTTTAATTTCTTGTTGTGTTGTTCTATGCTGTCTGTGTCAGGCTCTCCTTCGGTTTGAACAGCGATCGCATGGATACTGAAAGCATAAGCTCTTGTGACGATGCTTGCATGGCACACTGACGGCCCATGTGGGTCTCTGCGCGCATGGCTTGTCTGCCCCAGAGATGCCGTTGACATCAACATGGCCTGCGACTTGACCTTCGCTGGCTTGCTTGGAGGCGTGTTTCCCATTTTTCTTATGTTGCCCGCAGGACTCCCGAGGCGCAGAGTGTCACAGTTCTCCTCTGAGATGTGTCAGCCTGGCACAATTTGTGGGAAGTACTGTCAATCTGGCGCGGCAAACGAGTTCAGTTCGTGGATTACTTGGTGCAGGTGGCCACTCTGTACGGGAAGTTCTCTCGCTAAGTCCGCCTCCGACAGCGCGGCCGGATGCAAGGCCATGAGCATGCAACAAGCACGGACGCCCTGGTGCAATGATGCAAGTCCGAAGACGATGCTATTCACAGTTCAAACTACATGATTGTTCTGCTCGAGGGATTTCTGCTGTCAACCTCACCCTCTTTACAACCCCAGCCACCCATCACACGTATTCACTGCGTGATCCACGACGTTAGGGCTCCCAGACTTGGTGAATCATCGTGTGTGTTTTGGTGGTTTTTGAGGAAATCGCTCCCGCCACAGTCCCGTGGCCGTGTTGCTCTTCAAATCATTCCAAGTGATTGCAAAGTCATGGCAGGACTTGATTATTCGGCTCTTCGGGTGTGGTCTCGAAATTCAGGGGGCTTGGAAGTTTTCAGAAGTTGGCGGGTGCTGCTGCGTTGCCATGAATGTTTCGGGGGAGCATTGCCAATCCTGATCCCGCCACAGTTCGGTGCGCATTTTGGACTCATGGGGTGGTCTTCAGAGCCTCAGCGGTGCTCCTGGCATGGTTTCTGAGATAACCCGGCATGCAGTCTATGTGCCTTATTAGGCTGTGGGGTCCGAACACAGCCTGCATCGGTACGCAATTGGAACTCCTCTTGCACTGAGAATGCCTGCTAGGGTAATTGACACTTTGCTTGGAAAGAAGCATCCCTACGCCGATTTGATATAATGCTCTCGCTGCCAAGGTACATCGGTGTGCCCACTGCGAGCTTCTTCCAAACTGGCTTCAAATTAGTTGGTGGGTCCTTCGAAATCATGTGGTAAACATATACACACGCACCATCACGCTCCCTTCAGCCGTGGTTCCACCTGAACAGTCTTGCTTTCCGCACGGAGCAGCGAATACTTCGGAATCGGCAACATCAAGCCCGGAATTGTTTGATTGCTGCCAGCCGAAATTGTCGTTAGTTACTCGATCGCTCGTTGCCTGGAAGTCCCTGGCACGGGCCCGACTGGAAGCATTCCAAAGAGGTGCTGGAAAACCAGCTTTTTTAGTAGTGTGCAGCCCCAACTGCGAGTCTGCCCGGAGGCATGCCGCTAGCGTCTCCCCTGTTCTGGGATTTGGGGAGCGTTCGTTATCTCCACGACTGCGAAGAGGCGGGCTCTTGAGGAGCAGCAGGGCGCTAATTGGCAGAAGAGATTGTCAAGGAGAAACGGAAAGCGATAGTCAGCTCGCGGTTGATGATGCTGGCATGCCGCGGCGTCGATTATCTGACGCTTGTTCAAACATCCATTCAGCATTGTGTTGTGAAAGACGGAAATGTTTTTTTCATGACGGCTCACGATGGCTGACTCGAGGAGTTCTCAGCCAGAATGCAGAGTGGCAGTGCTGTGGCTTAGCTTTACACACAGTTTCCTCTCCTGCTTCTGCAGACTGCAGATGGTGTCTCTTTGCGGCTTGCAGTGTTGCGTGCTTCCATCGTCATCATGTCCTGCTTGCAAGTGGTCATTTGGCCATGAAGCTTTCAACGCTTTGTGAAGAGGTACGCGATGCGCTTTCCCATAGCCCTGCACGGAAGTCCCTCAGGGGATGCAGAGGCCTTGCAATTTCGCATGAAGTCTTGGTGGACGTTTTGTCTGGTTTGGTGGTGAAGTCAAGGCGTTGTCAGCCCAAAGCCCTTTAATTTAATTGGAGCCATACCAAATGTCCATGATGGTTCATGGACTTGATCTCACCTTCCGTTGCGAGTGCATTTTTTCGTCTGTGCTTCCCGACTTGCGCGTTCGTGCAGGAGAGAGGAGATTCAAGCACAGCCTTGCTCCGGCATCTGCGCGAGAATCCGTGCTGAGCGGCTACGGGGAACGCCAGGCCACAAAAGGGAAGCTGCGCTGGAGCTGCGGGACTGTGAAAACTGAGCTGTTACCAGGAATCTGCGCGGCGCCTGCTGCAGGCGGCGCATGCACGAAGTGTTTCATTGGCGGAGCACGTAGTCGCACGTAGGGTGGTTTGGTGCTGGAGTGGCCTTGGAGGTGAGAGGGGAAAGCAAGGACTTTGGAGACAGAGGGAGATCCTCGAGCGGAATTCCCTGGCGCCAGCTTCCTCTCTATGATTGTCACGGCCTCTTTGACGAGCACAAAGGAAGGTTGTACAGGCGTACGGCAGCACATGATGTATGATTACGTATGACTATGCATGACTGCTGAAATGGAACCGTATTTTCCACCAGTGGGCTCTGAAAGATCAGTTTACTCCGGAAGTAAACGAACAAGTTGCAGGGATGCCGGACAACCGGTGCTGGGGCACGTGCCCACCTAAATCACTGTGGGGACGAGAAACAGGCAGTTCGGCGAATTTGTCATCGCGAGCCTCCATGCAGGCACTTCCGAAGGGCGAAGGTCTGTTTCGCTTTCACCTCAATCTCGTGTAGGTTTCGGTTCAGCCTCAGCAATCACACTGTGCTGAGAATCCAACAAATCTAAGGCCTGCTGCTTCAAACCGGGACTTCCATCAAACCAGATCCAGCAGTTCGAGCGCCTTCTGTCTTTTCCGAGCGTTTGCACAGCAGCGATGCTGTAAAGGACACCACAGTGCTGTCATAGTCGCCTATCGAGCGCCTAGCGTTCTCATATGCGACTGTACCACATGTCTCTTGCCAGTTTCCGGCCAGGACCTGCTTTCTGGAGAGCACTGTCGGGGCCGCATGAGCCTGCAGAACTGGCAGCGAGAGGAATCTAGCAACTTTGTGGCATTTCCAGGAGCCATGTTAAGCTGGCCGAAGCACCCCTGACGGAATCGAGGACAATCGCTGCACCGCAGAGACATTACCCCAGCATTGACAGCAGCATCCAGGGCAAGTGGCCACGCAATGGAGACCGAGAGGTGCCCGTCACCAGGTATTATAGGGTTTAGGGTTTAGGGTTTAAGGTATAGAGAAAGATCCCGAGCACCCCCATCCCCTGCGCCCTGCCGGTGCTCGCAGGTCTCGCTGCCTCGCCAAGTTTGACAGGCAAGCTTGCTGAATGTTCGCTCATGCTTGCATAAAAGGGTCAGGACGAACATCTGACATTTTAACACGCGCGGGATTCATCGTTGATTTAGGCGGCACTGGAAGAGATTGAGGCAGCAAATGTGATCGCACTGAGTCGCTCGTGGATAGGTTGCTCAGGAGTCAGAAACTGAAGTTCAACCGAACCACTATCGCCAAGTTGTTGAATGTGTCTTTGCTTCGAAGCGATGAGCTCAGGCTTTGTGCTCAAACTCCACGTGCTGGGCGAGCCGGGCCTCGACCGGACGCCGTGGCCAGTGCCGAGGATTTCAGACTGCGGGACGGATCCTTGTCAAGTCGTACCTAGTACCTTGCTGGTGGGGTGATACGGTGATGTCTTGTTTCTGCGCGACGCGGCTAAGACTGTCCTACTACTACCGCGCTGCCGAGGAAAGAACAGAAGTGGACCGGAGCATTTTGGCTGTCACAGGACAAGAGGCAAAGTTTCAGTGCGGGCATGCGCATGGTCCTTCCAGGCAGCCTTCTCCATGCATACAAGCTCCATCAGCATCGCCACGTTCGATGCCATCAGCCACAGTCCCAGCAGATCCTTGAATAAAAACGCACACTTGTGTGATGATAGCGAACTTGCGGGGGAGCCTTTCCGAAGTGTTCCGAATCGCTGGAGGATGCCGAGCCGCTCCGGTGTACGCAGCCGCAGAGTCGGTCGCGTCGCACATATTCTTTCGAAGCAGATATGGCGATTTGTCAGAGATTGGCATCGTTTTTCCTGTGTCACAGTATAGGAACTAACACTAGATCTGCGAATCCGCCGTGGTGCGAGGGTTTTCTTTTCTTCAGTTTCAGTCTGTTGACAGACGGTGGGCACACCGTGCATTTAGACATCGTGCAGGCAAAGATCTCGTTGGCGGCTGGGCGCCTTGCGACGGCAGCCTGCAGCGCATCAACAGCAACTCCGAGGCCGCGATACGTTTGGAAAGCGCACGAGCCGAGAACCTTGGACCTGTTGGAACCCGAGCAGACAAGATGGGGGTACTGAATCATGGAGGTCAAGAACATACAGAAGGTGTTTTACAAATTTGAGGGAAGTCAGAGTGATATGAGGCAGGCAAGATCATCATCATCATCATCATCACACCGCATTCGTGTTAGGTGAGACGAACACAACGCAGCGCAGCACCACTTCTGGATACTGACCGACAAGTGTCAAAAGCTTGCGACCCCAGCCAGTCTTTCACTGAGCAAAGAAAGCACTACCCTGACAGTCCGAACCGCCGCACCACACTAGAGCCCCCACCAGAACACTGACAAACGACTGTAGCACCGGGCAGGTGGCAAAGAGACCCACAAGTGAACATGTGGCTCTCCAAGATCATGTTTCCCACCTTGGCCGTTTTCCGCAAATGCAGTGGTTGCAGTCTTTGCGGCTATAACGAAGTCGCAGTCTGCCGGCACTAGTATCTTAGTAAAAGTCGCTGACTGAAGCTCCTTGACTTCATGAGCGGTGCGCAAACTCAACTTCGCCAAAGCCACAAGGAGGGATCATGCCCATCATGCGCACCATCTGTCGTGCGTTGTTTGGACACCTGACCATGGTTAGCCATCCAAGTCATGGCCGGAGATTGCTCTACGCAGCACGGATACACAAAGACCTCGCAAGCAGAAAAAGCCTCACGTCCAATCTGCAGTGAAAACAGGTCCCAAAAATGTGCACACAAATGTTGCTGAAGGCCCGAAACTGATGAACTGTCAGAGTTACAGTCGTTGCAAAGCAACGAATCAATGGGCAGCGAGGGTACCGGAGCAACCTTTGCCCTGGCATCGTTTCCGATGTTCGGAAAGCCACTGACAAGGCACCATGGACACCAGCAGGCAAGATGGGGTTTAGGGTTTAGGGTTTAGGGTTTAGGGTTTAGGGTGCAATGGCAGTTACCAATGGCATGCTATTGCAACTCTTCGATTGTTGTGCAGCCTTTTTTACCCTACACTCACGTTCGCAGTGGGATTGAGTTGGCAAGTTGGGCCAGGCATCAGTCGGCGGCTCTTGGCCCCTAGTGTGCACATGAAATCGTCCTTTCTGTTTTCAGGCGCGCGCGGTGCCTCGGCTTCATTCCTCGCCAGAGGGAGAAGGTCCGGAGGGAGCCGGAGGCCAGCCTGTAGGCCTGTAAGTGTCGGGACAGTGATGGCGCAACCCGAATCCATGGAGGTCCTGTGCGACACGAGCCGCGGATCACCGGCAAACGTGAACCAGAATTCTCAGGCGCCTCAATACACTCATGGGGGTGGGCATGCCCAATCGCTTGACAAGCGCAAGGACACCACCTCGCTTGCGGCTGACAAAATACCCATGAACGAGTCGTTGAAACCTTTCGATGACAAGGCCGTGGTTACGATTGCAGCAGATCTCCCGTTGCTTTGCCAATCTGTGAGGTTGGCCAGGTTGTTGAATTCATCGACAAGATCATTGGCCATGGCCGAGGAGCATAGCCGCGCGGAGAGATGAGCTTTAGTCTTGCGATGTTGGGGAAGGACAGCCGCTGTCACAGCCAGAGTCTGAAGGGCGTCTGACACCATCACCGGAGAAGAAGCAGGCAGGTCCGCCAACCGTGACCCGTAATCTTACCGGCTTCGTGCCCGTAGGCAGGAACACATCCGAAATCCTGTTCATGTTGGAGAAACACTGTGGCTTGCCAACATGCACGCATGAACAGTAGGTGCTGCTTGTTTGACTTTGGATGCGCTAATGCCGACTTTGGGCAGGACTTGCAAAGCTGCCACTAAGCTGATTAAGCTGCCATGGTTGTTGACTTTCCTGAAGTGTGGTAGCATCAGGATGTAGGGTGGAAAGTATGCGAGCCAGACCATCACTCTTAGCTCAAGTTCCTGATGTTGCGAGGCGTCCTGTCTTAGATCTACAGGGGCCTGTTATTGTATCGCGCTGTGTGTCTGTGTGCGCATGTCGCAGTTTTGCTTCAGCACCAGCAGGACCTTGGATGGTGTTGGTGCAGCAAAGCTTTGGTTGCTTTCTCGTGGCTTTCTGTCTTCTCAGCTTTAGGCTCCTTTAGCTTTTGGCTTGCCGACCTGTTGGTGGCCCGCGTTCGTCTTTCGAAATCTACTGAACTCAACCGTGTGTGTTGATGGAACGTAGACAAGAGTCGTGACGACAGATCATTCTAGGGATTCTGCGGCACTGACAATGGGGATCAGAATCTGAATGTGCGTAGGCAGTCATACCAGAGCTCTGTTTACCTGGTCTGCGGCTTTCTGTTCTTTTGTCTGCATCGCACTACATCCCAGCACTAGCAAGTGTGTGCGCGGAGCGTCGTCGTCCTCGTTCTGTCATCTGCTTGGCCGGTGCACGCAAAAGGCAATGAAGGAGTTGCACGACCAATCGCAGCCTCTGAAGATCTAAAATACATTAAGAGCTTACAAACACAGCAAGGAGATGGGCACAGCTTCGCTCTCCTGCTTTAGGTTTATTTACCGTTAGAAAACTTGACTGACATAGAGTGAACAAGGTTGCATTGCACGTGCGACAAGCTTGCAGCCATTCGAGCTGTTCCATGTCTTTCTGAGATGCTAGCTGTGGTTTTCTGTTTCAACTGGTCAGGATTGTTCTCTGCCTCGCCAGCATGCGAAGCGAGACAAGGCCACATGGGGAGTATGTGCAATTCTCACAACCGGATCTACGATTGCATACCCAAGTTGTCCATTGAAATCGAAGCTGTCCTGAAGAACAAGACCCCATCTTTGGCTGGGCTTGCTGTTGTCAGCTGGCCGCGAAGACGTCTTTAAGGTTGGTACCGCTGATAGAACCTCCGAGTGTGTCTATTTGGAGGCTCCCCCCGAACCAGAGCCGGAAGTGGACATCGGCTCACATGCGAAAGATGCAGCTGGAGAAGCAGATAATTCTGAATAAGGTCTGATATACCCGGGAGCAGGTTTTTCAGAGGCTGCGTCGAGCTTTGATTGGCATCGTCTTTGCTATTTGCAAGCCCAGGTCTCGCTGTATCCGCGACTCCTCACGTCAGCCCTGGAAGCTGAGAAGGCCACTTTCGACAATCGCATGCTTGACAATAGCTGCTCCGAGTCCATCGCATACACGATGACACGACGTCTTTCTTTGCCTGCGTGGCTTTGGTTTGTCAGCCTTTCCCAGCCAACTCTGTGACTTCCAACAGAACGGCGCATCCGATTAACCAACCGTCCAACTGTGCGTGCATCTGCGCCATGACATGAGTGATGGATCTCGTCATGTCAGCTTGGGCATGCAAACTGATGACTGGACGGATGCTCAGGCCTCCACTGCAACAGCATTGCACCAGAAAGACCAGAAGGTGCAGAAGGAAAGGGACATCGTGCCTGACAAGGCCAAATACAAGTTTGCAAGGCTCGCTTTATAAGCGCATCAGCTGGAACGGTACCGTTGCGAGGCACGCAGCAACAAGACGGCAGTGAGCCAAACGCGAAAGAAGCAAGCTACTTGAATGTACTCGTACGACATGTTCTCTCGGTCTGTTTGGCATAAATCCTTTGAGAGGGCCAGTCATGACGGGATATGTGGACATTTGCAGACTGCTAAGGCGAAGTTTACTGCGCTGATGCAGCCAGACATTGGCAAGCTGCGGGATAGGCGGAAGGCGGCGCAAGGAGCACCAGCCAGAGCAGGTCTGGTAGCCTAGGCCTAGGCATGCCTAGGCTTGTCTCAATGGCCACTGCTCCAAAGAGAAGATGGCATTTTGAATTGATGCGGCGGCATGCGGCGCTTCCTTTGGTCTTGTAAGAGTTTAAAGTCATTTCATCTGAGCCGCACGTCTCCGCCCATGCGTAGTTTTTTAATTCATTCGAGATTTCTACCATCCCTCCCGCAGCAGACCTGGCATGTTTTAGCTCCGATGCCGCGTCCTTGACGGGACTAGATGTGGTGGAAAATGGAAGCTGGAAGCTGGCAGTGGAGTCCACAAGAAAGACTCTCCCGCCGGTCTTGACTCTGATGGCGCCGGTGATGGTGATACTGGCCATTAATGATGGGCGGTGCTCGTGGTGAATCTGAATATTGTCTGATTTGAACCAGCGGTGCTGTAAAATTGCGAAGGACATCCAGCCCGCCAAGGTTGTGGGTCATACTGTGGCTGCAAATGCAGATGTTGTCCTTCCAAGCCATGGCGTCAAAAGCTGGCCGCGAGCGTTTGGTCCCATTCATCGCAGTGAATGTCGAGCCACAAATTCCGCAAACAAATTTTTCAAGCGACAGCTAATGGGTCTCGAAACCCCTACGAGTGCTTCAATGTGTAACTTCTTGCGAAGATAGACGAACGCAGGCTTCGCTCATGGTTTTCCGCGTTGTTTACACATGAAACTTCTTCGACTTTTTGACATTTTTTGACCAAGAAGAAAGTAATACATTTACGGCTTCATGTTTCATTTCAAGCTAACGGTTTCAATGGGGAATGCTTGCTTGCCGATCTGGCTCAGCGAGGTTCAGTGCCGCTTTCAAGGTGCAAACCAACAGCAAGCACAAGGCTTGGGGAAAACGAGGATTCGCAAACGTTTTGTTCCCCAAAGCGAACCAGGAATGTGTGCACAGTTGGTGGGCGCGCATTGGTCTCGACCCCACCTGGGCCGGGTGCTTTTCAGAGACCTGCTGGGACGCCAGGTCCGAAATTTGTCAATTTCCCTGAAATCACCAAAAGAAAGAAAGCGAGGCCAACGAAGGGAAGAACCTCTCAAGGAAAACAGAAAAGCCAACGAGAGAAAACATCAGAACCAGGGGAGAGAGACAGAGACAGCTGGAATCACAGTCCCTTCAAAGCCCCATAACACATGGGGGGCCCATGCGGCCGAGGGACCTAACCCGTCCCTTACGCCCAGTGGAAGAAGAGCCAGCTGTTCGCTCAAGTCGTCCGCAACAGAGAATGAACAACTCAACATGCAACATGAGACAAATAAGTATATTTACACTTATACAGACGGATGGAAAACGAATGGGAACAGTAACGTGCAACGGAAGGGTAGCACATGAACATGGGAAACGAAATGGGAAAGGCAAGGACTGTCACAGATAAAGGGAAAGATATAGCATGTTTGCAGCTTGGGAGAAGTGGAATCCCACTATTGATGTGTGTTTGATTATTGATGTCTAAGAACAAGAAGATTTCGATAGATGTTCTTGGTGTATGCTACGACAGTGAGTTGTTTCCGTTAGTTAGCTACGACTCGAATCGCACTCACTCCGTAATGTAGTCAGTGGTTTCAGGACTGTCCCGTCTTCACACAGAGCAAAAGCAAGGAAGGGAGAAAGGAAGACGAGGAGACTGGAGAAGGCCGAAGTTGGAAGGGACAGGGGAAAGTGGGGAACCAGAGCGGAGAAGACATTGGGCAGCTGAGAAAGGTGAGAAGGGGAGGGAGAAGGTGGAGATAGGTGAAGGATGCGTCGAGGATATTTGACATGGCTGTTGTCTATCGCATTCTGCGCGGTGCTCGGGCTCAGCTGGAACCACTTGGCGCCGTCTTGGTGCCTCTCCAGCGAGGCTGCGCACTTTGCGGACCTGTCTGTGCGAGTTGATTTTGTGCCAGCGCGCCCCCCTCTAGGCCATGTCGTACATCCCAGCAGGGCGACCAGAGGGTGGGTGGCATGGCACAAAGTTGGCAGAAGCCATTGAAGTGTAGCGATTCCAGCTGTTAACAGCCTGTGCCGACATGGCAGGCTGCGCGATATTTGGGTTTCGGGCAAGGCATGAACATGCAGCATTCTTCTGGACACTTGGGCGCAAGCGCACTGATCTTCGAAGAGTCGACAGGTTGGCGATTCACGTGCCAGATGTTTGGCGACATCATTGCATCAGAAAGGACACGAGGTGGGACCTTTCCCGCATCGCAATTGGCTGGACTGATTCCAGTGCTCCACGCGCATGTCGTCCAATCCGACGAGCATCCCTCGAGAGCCAAGGGACTGCCCTGCTCCCGGGGAGCGGTGTGACTGCTGAGTGATAGGTGACCCTCATCGGCGTCAAGAAGTCCAGCGAGGCTCCACTTGCCTCCTGGGGAGAGGCCGTCAGCAGTGGAATGCAGTGAAATTGTGTCCTTATTATTGTGCGAGCTGCGACAGGTCATTACAGAGCAGCCGAGAAAGAGCATCCGGATGCAGGCCATGGAGAGCAGACAGCAGAGCGCCCGCTGTGATGTCGTTTCTGAAACTGGTAGTGCAGCATTTATGCCATCCTGTGCTTGGATGGAAGACCCAGTCTCTGAATGCACTAAGTGGAGAATGGATAAGCCGCTTGCAGGGAGGCCGTGCTACTCTATATTCGTCATGACGTCCTATTGGCAGCGAACGATGTTCTCGCTTTGCATGGCGACAGGGAAGCGAGAGCGCCAAGAAAGCGCGCAGTGACGTGGCAAAGAAGTAGAATAAAGAAGCAACATCTAGACGTTTCCATGCTCGGCCTTGGAAGGTTGCATGTCAGAGAAACAGTAACGGTGTCGCAGAGCATCGGTCATGCCTTAGAAGCAGGAAGCAAAGCTGTTTCACGGTACGGCTGTACAGATAAGGTCACTCAAGCATGCAGAGGCATATTCCGAGTTGCATAGGTGCAAAAAGGCAGCCCGTTCGATTCCAACCGATAACTGCATGAACCCCTTCCCATCCTAAACCCTAACCCTTAACCCTAAACCCTAAACCCTAAACCCTGTGTCCTCTGGGCAGATCTGGCACATCAGATCCGATTTCTCAGCTTTCCGGCTCTCAGCGTAGGAAGCAAGACATCTGATCCCCAAGCGAGCTGGCTACTGCAATCGCATCATCGTTGTGAACACCTTAACCCGAGATGCCTCAGTGACTGAGCAGGAAAGCGACTTTTCTGCAGATCCTTTACCTCTTTGGTGCTGCTCCGCCATGCTCGAAATTGCTTGAGACAAGCTTCGGCGAGTGTAGCCAGCCCGGCTGTGTCACATTTTGTGCAGCTGCCCACTCTTATCGTTGCAGGTGATTAGTGCAGGCTGTGTGGTGGTTTACAGTAGCATGAGATCATGCCCACCCTGTCGTGTTCGAAGGAGGGATTGCAAGTTGAAGGCCTCAGGAATATACTTCGTGCCGAGGCGGTTGCGAGCCCAACATGGGTTGGATAATCGCCACCAGGCTCGGCCGGCCTTGCAGCGATCCAGCCACGAAATTTTCAATCAAGACTTGCCTTTCGCCCGTATGCGTTGTCACAGGAATTTGGCAAAGGGCGCGCGATCCAAGGGCAAGCGAGTTCGCCTGCATCGTTTGCATGGGAGAGAGCGGGTGCATGCAGCTCATGTTGGATGGCGTGAACTCTTCTTACTGGTTGACAGGATGAACTGGAACAATCCATGCCCTCGTCTGCCAAACACCACCCTGTGGATGCAAAATTTCGGAGCCCAAGGATCCAACACCCAAAGTAAACAGGTGCGTTTCTTAGTTTTTGCCCTTACGGCTTTGGGCTTGGAGTTTGGGTTCCGCGGGCGTGCTTTCAAGCCTGCCCAGCCAGAGCCACGCTTGGTCTTGAAAAATCACTGGACACAGTTTTCTTTTTCTTCTTTGGAGACGCGGTTTAACTTGAAAAAGTTTGGGGCCCAAAGGGGGACAGTGAAGCCAATGTGAGACAGAGAGTCTCGTGGCAATGATGTCTTCTAGTGGAAGGAAGCGGGATCAAGCACACGCAAAAAAGGACCAAAGCCAGCAATTTTAGGCACGGAATACTCAGGCACCAGAATTCAGCAACCAGGCCCGCCATTTCCAGAAGCGAGCCAGCACCATTCAGGGGTTGAAGGTGTTGTTAGGGTTGACGGTTCACAGGCTGTACGATTCAGGGTTCGGGGTTCTTCAAGCTCTGGGGTTGGAGGATTTGAAGTGTTTCAGGGTTTAGGGCTTGAAGTTGTTTTTCCGGTTCAGAATGTCTGTAGGGTTTTCGAAGGTTTAGGGTTTCGGGCTTTGCAGGGTTTAAGGTTGAGGCTGGAGGCGTTTCTCATCAGGTTCAGGGCTTGGGTTTCTTCAGGGTCTAGAAGGTTTTCCTGGTCTAGTGCTTAGGGTGTTGCAGGGTCAGGGTTCTCTAGGGTTCATAGTTTTCCGCGGTTTAGGGTTTTAGTTTGTTTAGGTTTCGGTCTTTCGAGGTTCAGAGTTCAGGCTTTTCCAGGGTTTAAGGGCTAGGGTGTGCTCAGGATTCAGCGTTCACAAAGGTTCAGGGTTGAGGGTTTTTCCAGGTTCCAGGCTATAAGCAATTTATATAAGGGTTGCGGGTTTGCAGGGTTTCTCTGCTGGGCTTTTTTTCAGGCTCATGGTCTTCCGGCTCAGGGTTTAGGAGTTTTTGAAGCTTTAGGGTCTTATCTGACTTTGAAAAGGCGTAAGTCAGATCCACGTTTTGTGGTTTTCCTCGGTTTAGGCTTGGGCTCTTGGAGGTTCAGGGTTTAGAACTATATTGCATGGTTTAAAGCACAGGGTGTATTCAGGATTCAAGGTTCAAAAGGTTGAGGGTTGAGGTTTTTTCAAGGTTCAGGGCTATAAGTATTTTAAGAATTATAATTTTCGTCGAGTTTAGGATTTACGATTTTTCAAGCTCGGTTTGGCTTCATGGTCTTCCGGCTTAGGGTTTTGGAAGCTTTCGGGTTTGGGTTTTACCTTAACCCGCCACGCCATTGCCAAGTCAGATCCACACACGGCACGAATGCGTGCTGCGGCGCTCGAGTTGTCTGCTCCGCGCGCCGCGAATTCCGGGATGCGGTCCGCAAATCGGGTTGCTGAGTTCTGGCGGTTCCCGAACTTTGGCGCTCGACTTTCGTGATTCAGTTTCCGAAACTGGTTCCCGAATTTCCCAGCAGCGACAGCTGCGACACCAGCAACCCGGCTACGTCCGCAGACATGGTTCGATATTCAACACCGGCTTCGCCAGGCGTGCCCTGAATGGCATCTCGCGAAAGCTGGGGCTCAAGTCCGCCGGAGCGCACTCCAAGCCACAGGCGATTGTTGCTGGGAGGTCTTGTACGAAGCCTTGTGCTTGCAGCGAAACGGTCCGCTGCAGAAAGCCTTGGATGCAGCCGGCAGGAGCATCACAGACACGACACAACCAAAAGGAGTCAACACCTCACAGAAGTTCCGGCAGAAGCCCGAAACTTCCGGAATGAAAGACACGAAGGAAGGGAGGAAGACAAGAAGGCGGCGGTGCAGGACACCAGCCAAGGCAATGTTGAGGACGAAAGTGGATGAGCGCGCTGTTTTAAGAAAATTGTTGATTACATACGACTCACTACCCTGCTTTGGTTCTTCCTCTGGTTTCCACTGCGACCTGCCCCTCAAAAGTCTGATAACTTGTACAAGTAGAAGGGCACTGCAATACCGTGTCATCACTACAGAGAAGGGCCGGGTCGACATGCTGTTAGTAGCAATCTCGGGCAAGTTAGTTACGTTTGCTTGAAGGAGCCTTACATATTGGAGGTCTTACCTTGCAACGAGCACAGCCTCATCCGGATTGAGTGTCAAAGCCCCGTCAGCCGGTGCCCATGCCAGATCTACCACAAAGTTTTCGGACCCTCCCACAAGCAGTGGAAAATGATGAAGGACACTTGGCTGCACTTCGAGCATGCTCGGTGAGCCGTTGTTGTGGCACGGTTGATCCATTTGGGATAGGGCTGTGGTTGTACATCTGGCGCTTCTAAGGACATGCTGAACATCTTGGTTCGGGAGCGCAGATGTTTGTGGCAGCAAGCACTGAGAAATGTCAGGAATGCTGCCATGAACTCAAGTCGGTGTAGCGTCGTGAGGACCAGAAGATGGAAACATCATTGGCCCGAGCCAAGGAGCTGCAGCAATATGCAGAGGAGACGCAACGCATTCACCACCTGGCTTAATTGGAGCAGCACCGAGTTCAAGTGGTTAACATTGTCCGTTTCTTGATCTGGGCTGTTATGTCCCACTTTCCCTGCAATGTACTTCCGAGGGTTGTATCTAAGTTGTGAGAAGAACAACCTTCGATTTGGTAGGCAGACCCTGCAGAGCCCGCAGGGCCGATCTCCTGTTGGGTTGCATCGCGGCAGAACGTCGACATGGTGCTCGCAGGAAATAGTCTTCCTTGCCAAGAAAAATTCTCCGTATCATGATGGACTCGCTCCGTCCTCAGCGGAGCGCGCGTGTGTGTGTGTGTGTGTCGGGTTCAGCGCCGTGCCCCATCGTCGGGGCTTCAAAGGCTTCCCAGGCGTGACAACGCAGGAATGGCTGCTGTAATTCTATATTCCGGAGGTTGTGGGCACGGTTTCAGATTGGGAGTTGGGGCAGGTCGGAGTCCTCGTCGGTGCTGACACGCATTCCTGTACTCCTCACTGCTCCTCTCATTTGGGTTTCTGCTCAGGTGGAAAGTATGTTGACCTCTCCAGAGGCTCCGGCGGCGAAACAAGAGAGTGAGCATGTACAAATTGACAAGCATGATTGAAATCCCGAGAGTTCCGGAGAAGACTTGCTTAATGCTTGAGGCAAGGAGGATACTCTATGAGCGGATGCTTCCGCGCTACCAGGCGCAAGCAAGACGGCATGGATCGACATCAGTTTCATGCTGATTTCAAGCAGCATCATCGGCGAACCTGAGCTGGTCATGAACTGTCAAGTGTGACTGATGGATGCAAGTGGTGTCTTGTGCAAGGATCGACACTTTCACTTTTCTCGAGTGCTGAACCAGTGGAGGCTCGAGACTTTTCATTGCTGAACATGTCACTAGATGAACAAGCTGAACTTTTTTTTTTATACCTTGCTGCAATGCAATTTTGAAGCAGACTTGGCTTTCTGTTCGACGAAGCCATCCGTCTCTGAACGTGGACAGGTACAGAGAGCGCGACACGACGCCGATGGCTATCATCGAGTGACCAGCAACAGACATGGGATGCTCTGCATGGTGGCGGTCAGTCAAGATACGGACGTGTCTGGAAGTGTTGTAGCCGTCGGTTGCGGTGTGCAAGTGTGGGTCAGCCTCGGCATGGGATCTCAGCAGCCTCGCCATTTCTGCCACGCAACAGATTGGGTGCCAATCAAAAGCTTCTCAGTGGAGTGCTATTTTGCTCCGCCGAGTTCTGTTCCGGAAAGCCGCCGTCTCTTCTTTTTCGTCTGCGAGAACACTGCAAAGGAGTACAATCCGGCCCACACTTGAGCTTGGAGTCCTCATGATGGCCAAGCCTTCGGAAAATGGTAGGGGTAATGTCACATCTGCGATCATGGCGGCGTCTTTTTTCGGGTGGTGCTTCTTGTGTCGGGTGCATGTTTTGCATCTGCTTGCATGAAGATTTCGGGTAGCCGAGTTCTCGTTTTTGCTGAGTTCTTGGTGCGAATGAACGTGATGAAAGCTTTCGCTGTCTTGCGCCGCTCTTGCTTGGGGAACTCTGCCTGGCTTCAAGTAGCATGCGGAGACCTGAAAAGACCTGTGCTCTCTTTCTCCCTGAGAGCTCCACTTCGGCTCCGGCTCCTTCAAAAGAGGACCCCTGTTGTTATCGCCTTCCTAGCTGTGGACATCTCGAGACTGAAGTGTGTGTGTGTGTGTTTTCTTTTGCGGGCCTCCACCAAGGCACTCGGGAAGTTTTTGCGAACCGATCCTAACCAGATGTTAACCATGAGGATGTGCAGACGCTGACGTTGCTCTGCGTCGCCAAGGTGGCCGGTCTCCAGCCGAAGCGTAAACTGAGAGAATCGGCGTCGACTCCTGTCTTTTGTCCGGTGCGTTCGTCCCTTTTCGTCCCTTTGCGTCCGTGAGGTATGTCGACCGACCTGGTGAACTGCGTCCCGCGAATCCCGTGGGGGCGGCCGGGGACTCGAAGCTCGTGTTCTGCATGGCCCACGGTCCCAAACATTACTGCCCAGGCAAGGAAGCAGCACGTAGCGATGGAGCCTGCAACTTAGCTTTCCTTCCCTTACTTTCAAGCAGTCGTCAGCTCAGAAGCACCGAGAAGGGACTCGAAGGGCTGACACATAACATGCTGACTTCAGGATTATGCTTCGCCGCACTACACAGGTGTGCTTCTGCGCTTAGCTTAGGTTCTTGCAGACTCGAAGAGGTCGGCGCAAGCACCTGGGCGAGATGCAGAGGACACTTCTGTCCCGTGAAAAACTTGTTGCTGCTGCGGCTTGATCCTCTTGCTGTGGTTTCTGTGGTTTCCAGCTCGCCCTCCGAAGTGCCTGTAGGATGATACAGAACAAGCACTCGCCTCCACTGGATGCTGCTTGGCAAATGTCATCATCTTTCCTCTAGCACAGGGCAGTGCGGACAAGATGGGACGTCAATGAGAGGATCGCATTGTTACCGGTGCGTGGGTTCTTTTCGACACAAAGGCTTTTGTGTGAGCACGCGGGACTCGTGCGAGTCTTGTACTGAAGAAATTGGGTCTGCGATGATCGGCATAGTTTTCCCGGCTATCGGGGATCAGTTGCAGTGGCAGGAGACAAGCATAGCTTCAAGGAACGACTTGCAGGTAAGGCGGCAGGGTCTAGGTTGCATAAGTTGCCTAAGACCAAAATTGTCCAAACCTCTCGCACAAGCCCCAAACCTCTCATCACTCCAAGCGCTCAACAAGCATGTGACACTGATGTGTGTGGAGTCAAGCTTCGTTGGGCTTCATGAAGATCCGTTGTCGTTAGCTGTCTCCGATCCTCTTTTTGGTGGTAAAGTTTTGATGCTGATGCTTCGCAACCGAAGACGACTTTTGCTCTGTTCCCTCGTGCCTGTGACAGGGTATTGTGGTTGGGAACCTTTGCCACCACGAGTAAGCAGAACAGGTACGGTATGGTGCTTCTAGCTCTTCCAAGTGGAATCATGAGTTTGTTCCGATTCTACACCCCTCCCCTGTAAGCTGAGAACCTAAAGCTCCTACTGCCCGAAACCCAAGAATCCACGGAACACTTCACTGGGTTGGACCAGCCCGCATCATGAGCATCTGTGGCCCCTGATGCCAACGTTGCCATGCTCCTACAGCTAGTGAGACAAAGGCAGCAACCTACCTTCGTCGCAAGGGCACGGTGGGCCTGGATCGCGCAATTCACCGGAGGGCCGGGTCTGCGGTGCTGGTTGCAGGGGGGGGCTCATTGCAGTACGTCAACGACAGCGAGCTCGGCTTGTTCGGAGCGCAAATCGCCTTGGCGAGAGTGGGGTATTCGCACAAAGAAACAAGGCCTCCCTTTGAGGAGGTCATGTGGATTGCGTTGAGCTCGCAACAACAACAACAACCGCAACAACAACAACAACAACAACAACTTTTTTTTTGGAAAACCAGCCTGAATTTGGTGAGTGCCCGGGCATCCGAAGGGGCTGCAGGTCGACCTGCACGAGCTGCAATGATGGGGAGAGGGATGGACATTGTACTGACCTCCTCCGCACCCTCCACCAGCAGGTCTCAGGGCAGCGGTGGATTCTGTGGAGATCTCCTCCCAATGCTGTATTTGTGCTAGCAGCTGCGCTGCGCAGCTTTTCTGAGGCAGCTGTTCTGGAGCGCTGCCGTTTCGAGTGCTCGAAGTACGAGGCCGAGGCCGTCGACATGGAACGATCCAGGCTAGGTTTCTATTTTGTTGAGCCGTCTGATCCAGGGCAAAAGCGGGCATCCTTGGAGCCCCAAGCTTGAGGCCGGTCGGAACCGCGAAGTTTTGACTCACTGCTGGTCAATTCGACGTTTGTCGACTCACTCGCGCAGCACAGGTTTGCTTTTCAGGCTGCAGTGTGGCATGCCAGGTACTCGATGTGGAATGATGCGGTGGGACACCCTCGGACAGTAAATGTTCGCAAAGAAAATCTTGAGTCCTTGCAAGTCAAAGAAACATCGACCTTTCGTCCATGCTATAAAAATGACAACAATCACAAATTACACACTACGCTAGTACTACCTACTCACTACTATTATTATCATTGTTATTAGTAGTAGTAGTAGTAGTAGTAGTAGTAGTAGTAGTAGTAGTAGAAGTACTACTACTACGACTTCGACTACAACTCCGACTTCATCTGTAATCATGACTATTACAACTACTACCACAACTACAGACTGAGATCAAAGGCATTCAATATCATTTCGAAAACGACCACAAATAAGACCAACTCTATATCTGACTTTTGAAGAATGCAAGAAGTATATAGATAATAGATACTTCTAATTTGGAAAAACTATATTGAATATCATGATTTGACATTATATATCATGCAGACATTTAGATATTTCATTAATAAAGAATCTGACGAACATTCTTTAATAAAAACGGTGTCGTGCTGGTCGTGGCCCCTGTAACCTCGTCTTTTGGCGCGCTTACTCTTGAAAGCCTCTTGTGTGCCTGTCTCGCGGTACTAAAATTTCGGAATTTTTAGTACCGGGAGCTCTTCTTTCCCGGTAATAAACTGTCCGAAATTTTGGCCAGGCATGCTCGCGGTCATAAAATTTTCGAATTTTTGGGACATGCTCGCGACAATAAAATTTCAGAAATTTTAGAACCGCGAGCTCCAGTGCCGTGCTTTGTGAATGCAGGTGTCTCTGTGTGTGTGTGTGTCTCTGTGTGGGTTGGTGCGTGCGCGTTTGTGTGTCTCTGAGTGTCTGTCTGTCTGTCTGTCTAGACGACCAACAAAAAGGCAAAATGACGTTGGCGGCATTGGCGATTGTCTGGGACCCCATATTCTGTCGGCCTGCGCAGCAATCCTGCTCAACACCACATACCGTGGTTCAGAAACACAAGTAGCAATGAAGCTGTCCACCAAGACGATTGGCCTGCTGAGTCATCTTACGCTCGTTGGGTGCTTTAAACTGGCTGTGAACTCTTCCAGGGCTTTCCCTGCATGCGAGGGAAACTCATCTCCGAGACTTACGGGGAACAGGATGGGCACTGCCAGTCGTTGAGTGGCCAGTCCTCAGCCGAAGAGGCGGTATGCAAGCAAAGCTACGATATAGATGCTGCTGGATTTCACTGGCAGTGTGTCGTCGCGTTGAAGTCTTCCGGTGGCTTTACCTGCCAGTACTCGCATTTGTGCCAGCACGAGGAGAACCCGGCCGCCGTGTGGGATTCGCTTCCAGTCCTTAGTGCAGACGTCAAGTTGGAGATGACACTTGTGGATTTCGAAAAGACGGCCAACAGACACCCCCACATGGCACGCCTCACGGGCAACAAATTCTTGGTTTTCGCGCGCAATAACATTGGGGGCAAAGGGATGCAATGCCAGGCAGTGGAAGATGTTGTGGGTGGCATCCTGACTGGTGATCGACTCGACATTCCCAGCGGTACGCAACATGGCGCGCAAATTTCAGAGAACAAGGTCGCCATCTGCCGCCATGCAGGTTCGATGCTGAGGTGTTACACTGTGACGGCAAATGCTCGCAGTCTTTCCAAAACTAGCGAGCAGGACATGCCAAATCGGATCAGCCCCATGGAGTACACCTACATGCCGACACTGTTGTACCTTGAGGAGCACAAGGTGCTGCTGTGCGGCTAATGAGAATGTTGAAAGGAAGGTGAAGCACCACCTGACTTGTTGGGTGATGACAGATAACGAGGGATCTCTCGAGAGGGGGCCCAGCAACACTTTGGTCGATAGTTTCCAGGTGACCTATGGCAAGGTCCACACTACCCTGCTGTCTGCAGGTAAGGTGCTTGCCTGCTACAACTTGGCGTATCATGACGGCAAGTTCAATTGCAAGATCCTGACCATCGAGGGCGACGTCATCTCCAGCGGGCCGGAACAAGAGTTCGATTTGGGCGGAAAAGAAACGGGTGGATTTGGTCATCTTACCGCTATGACTTCAACCCAGGCAGTATTCTGCTACTATCACCAGCCGAACACGTGTGTCCTTCTCTCTATCTCTGGCTCTTCGGTCAAGGGGGTCTACATTCTGGACCTGCCTAAGTCCAGAAATCCGCAGTTCAAAGGTGGAGTGCAGCGTTTGTGGAACGACCGGGTGCTCGCCTGCTGGGGAGGGGGATATCATGTCGCGGAATATGGCAACCCGTTCTGCTCCCTCATCATCTGCAAGGATCAGAAATGCACGGCGGGGGAGCCCTATCACCCGACTTCGTCGACCAAGCCGGGCTTTCCCAGAAGTTCTGATATCGCGGTCCTCACGCTCACTGTCGGCAAAGTTGCGACATGCGTTGAAGACAATCCAGGCTTTGCCAGCTACCTTCCGGGTGGGGCTTATGTAACGGCCCCTAGCTGCGCGATCCACAACCTGCCGCACGAAGGCGCGTGATGGGAGGGGCCACCGTATGAGAATTTCCAGGCTGGGACTCCTGTTCCTGAGCACTGAGCGATGTTTTCATGTAGCTTGGCACACCACTTTGGCGTCCTGCATCCCTGGTTTAGCCGGGATACACCAAGGCGAAAGTTCTCATGTACAAAAGGGGGTGCGGCCGGGTGCCTCCGAAGATTTATGAAGACTTGCAAGTGCGCACCGGGAGTCTGGAATGTAGCGTGCTGACACGTGCTGCGCTTTGCACCTCTAACAATATGCCATCCTTTTGATTGCAGAGTCTAGTGGCTCAGAACTTAGACTTCGCTGCAGCGCGAAGTACCTGCCGAGGCTCGCTGCCAATTGGGTAGGAGCACTGCTGGCATAGTGTGCCCTGCTCCTGCAAGCATTCCCCTCTCGGTCCACGCTGTGCCACCAGCCGGAGACAAGGTCTAAGATGATTAGGACACAGCAACAACATACCTCAGCATTGCCCCATGTGCCAGCGATGGGAAGCTGGGAGAAGGTGGACGAGGAGAAGACGCGCCAGCTCATGGAGCAGGGCTGGTTTGTCGTGGAGGATTTCTTGAAGGACGACGTGGCCAAGACCTTGCGTGAGGAGGCTTTGCGAGCTTCTACGGCAGGAAAGCTTCTCCCACACCGCTTTCAATTCAGCACGGGCACTTTTACCAAGCCTCACATTTATGAAGCTGATCTACACGACGAGTCGCTTCAGGAGGAGTTGCCAGCCTTTGCGGATCTATTGTTTGATGATTCCTTAAGGATGCGGCTTGATGAGCTCCTACCAGATCTGAAGCTAAAGAGCGGACATAGATCGAAAACAGTAAAGCTACAGCACAACGCTGGACATGGTGGATGTTTCCCTTGCCACTACGACAATGCAGGTCCACCAAGCGACCGCAGCATCACGTGCTTAGTATACCTCAACCCGCAGTGGGTAGCAGGTGATGGAGGGGAGTTGGTCCTGATGCCTTTCCTGATGCCGCAAGTCGTTATTGCGCCAGTCATGAACCGAGCCGTCTTCTTCCGAAGCGATAGGGTCCTGCATGCAGTGCGGCCAGCGTCAGCAGAGAGGCTTTGCTTCACAATTTGGTTCGATGGTGTTACCAACGACAATTTGGACTGCAATTTGACTCTGAAGTTGTTGCGGGCCCAGCTGGATGCGGCGAGGGTGCTGAGGCAGCTCCCCGTGCAGCGAGCAGTTTCACGTGCCGTGTACGCTCAGGAGTACGAAGACATGCTGGTTGCATGCATGTCTGGTGCAGCTGGTCAGGCAGAAATGCTGCATGCACACAGGCAGCATGTGGCCCAGCAAATGAATGACCCGAAGCTTGCAGCGTTCATTCAATTCCTCCGAAGCTTGAGGGTCAATGAAACGATCATCTGGGATCATCCAGCTTCAGTTGCGCAAGATGGCGAGTAGAAAATGTCAAAGGCGTGCGGAGGTAACCAGCCTTAGTTGGTGCCGTGTCCAGCACATGACCACTTGCAGCACACCCGGCATTGTAGAAAAAAAAGTTCAAAGTGGTGTGTGTTCCTGTCTCGTGTTCTGATGGCCCATGGCGCCAGGCCCAGCTGCAGCAGGGATGGACCTCTGCCATAGCTCGACTGTACCACAAACCTGAGTCCAGTCAATCCTGAATAATGCTGAGAATAATCAAGCAACATCAAGCAACATGGGGTCCTTTGCAGAGATCAATGGAGGCAAGATTCGCTCCGGTTCGAATGCAGCAAAACTCTTACGGCTTTAGTTTGGCTGGGCCCGGAGTGGCTTGCGAACATGCAGGCTGGCATGATGGTGCCGCCGCAACCCGTTCAACGGATTGGATCTCAGGCATTGTTTTGCTCAACACGCAATACGAAGACTCGTGCGACAAGCTTCATGATGTTTCGTTTTTAAGATTCGATTGGTATTTTGCATTAACAATAAAACTTCCCCGCTCATCCTGTCAATACATACCATATTTTCCCTCATACATGCATACATATATCAGGCGATAGAATATTGACCTTCTCCATTTCTATATAAATATTATATAATATATATGAGATGATATAAAATATTTGATTGGGCGAAATATTTTGATTTGAATTATATTAGTTGAAATATATCTGAATTAATAGAATAATATATTATCTTATATAGGTTGGCTATTTATTTTTATAACGGCTCGATTAGAAATAAGGAATCTTTTGAATTCTCGATATATTTTGATTTAAAAATCTCATATATATATATAGTAGATTATAAGATTTATATATATCTAGATTTATTGAATCTTTGATTATATAAATATAATTTTACGATATATATATATATGGAATAGATTCTATTTCTATATTCTATCTAGATTCTGAATATGCATATTTCTCTATAATTATTTTCAATAATTTAGAATTCGTTTTCTAAAGCATTTCTACTAAATTCTGAATTTATTAGCTTTACTTAAAAATTATTTTTTTCTCGAATCTTTGATAAATTTCTATATAATTATGATAAGATATTAGTCTTTTATTGGATATATAGATATCGAATAAATGAATTATTTATGAATAGAATTTGAATATCTTATGAATTATATTTCTTTTATATATTTCATATCTAAAAATCTTATTTTATTTATATAAGCTCAAATATTCGCGGACTAGGTTGGGAAGATTTGAGAATAATTATTAGATTAAACGATTTTTTATTATTTGGTATTTTTTATTGATTCTGGGATTATAATTGTGGGAATTTAATATGAAATTATTAGATAATATTTTCTAATAAATTATATTTCTAGAATAATAATTAGTTAAAAATCAAATAAAATTATATTTTCTTTTAGAGTATAGAACTTTTGCTTTGAATTTGGCGATAGA